CTCTGTAGACCAGGCTGGCCTTGAACTCCGAGATCCGCCTGATTAAAGACGTGCGCCAGCGCCGTCTTTATTTTTATTTTACTTTATGTCTGTGTGAGGGTCAGTTTCCCTGGAACTGGAGTTGCAGACGGGTGTGAGCTGCCGTGTGGGTGCTGGGAATTGAACCCAGATGCTCTGGAAGAGCAGCCGGTGCTCCTAATCACTGAGTCATCTCCTCTCCAACTCCTTAAGATTTATTTTTATTTATGTAATGTATGTGCATGAGTGCGTGTATGTGTGTGTGTGTGTGTGTGTGTGTGTGTGTGTGAGAGAGAGAGAGAGAGAGAGAGAGAGAGAGAGAGAGAGAGAGAGAGAAGATGTGTGCTGTACAGGTCATGACAGAGAAGGCCCAAAGAGCATCGGATGCTCGGATGCCCTGGAGCTCAGGCTGGAGAGGTGAGCTGCCATGTGGTCCTTTGGAAGAGCAGCAGACCCTTTGGCTCTCAGCAATCTCTTCTGCCCCATCATCTCTTTAACATGGAACAAAGTCTTTGCACATAGTAATGGTTGTAACATCAACCTTGCATCTGAGTTATTTGTATCTTTAACTCATCATTACACCAGGTCTACAAATAACAGTGGCTAACCCTGACCCTAGCACATACCAGGCCCCATGCAAACACTCGGGAACTCAAACATTCCATTGTTGTTTTGGTACAAGTGGTTAAGCGGTTTGTCCAGGGACATACTGTATGTGTCTCTGCAAACGCCAGGGCTGGCAGAGTAATAGTCTTGTGCAGCAAGAAGGAAATCTGGTTCAACAAGACTTTGGGTTCAAATCCAAGGAGAGCTCAGTCCTGGGCTGTTTCTCCCTAGTAATTACAAGAAAACACAACCCAAGAAGCTAAAAGGCCACTCACATGTAGGATCGTTTTCCCCATTCTACGGAGTCACCCTACTTATAGCTTGAGAGTGCAAGGAACTGTGAGCAAAAGGCTCCAGGTCTCTGTTTCTTCCTCTGCAGTGGCTATGAAAGACAACGCTTTGATCTGTGAGGTGAGGGGACCCACCTCCCCCAAGATGCAACTGACCCTGAAGAAGGAGAATCAGGTGGACAGGGTTACCAAGGAGAAGGTGTTCCAAGTGTCGTCCCCTGAGGCAGGGCAGTGGGAGTGTCTCCTGAATGAAGGGAATAACGTCAAGACAAGCTCCAATATCCAGGGTAAGGATTCAATTCCTAAGGCTCACGCTAAGCCTCGGTCTCTTCAACTGTGGAACCTTCCCAGGGATTAGCCAAGCTGACCCAAAGTTACAGCTCCCTAGCTCCTTTGACATGGAAACAGTATGTGCACCGGCCTGAAGACATAGGTCCTGGGCTCCAGATTCTCACTTCCATACAGCCTAGGAATGAGGCCTTCCTGCTAAGAGATACCCTCTTCCATGGCTTCCTTCTAAACCTAAACAAACACATGGGGCCCCTGGCTTTTAGCTCTTTAGGGAATTGTGTAAGAAAAAAAATCTCCCTTCCCTGTTCTGTACCCCCCTAAGGCCTGGTGACCTTTGAGAACACTGTGTCCTCAGCTCTTCTATTTGATCTGAGTCCATAGACAAGTCTCTCTCTCTCTCTCTCTCTCTCTCTCTCTCTCTCTCTCTCTCTCTCGGCAGGGCTTGGGGTGGAACCTAGGGCCTCCCTCCACCACTGCTATATCCCCAGCCAAATACTTCCCCTCTCCCCTCTCTCCTCTCTCTCTCAGTTTTATCCAGAGGGTTGAACCAGAACCAGCCAATGTTCCTGGCTGTCGTGTTGGGAGGCACCTTCAGCTTTCTGGCCTTCATCGGGCTCTGCATCCTCTGCTGTATCAAGTGCCGGCACCAACAGGTGAGTGAACTCCCATCATCCCTCACTGGGCCCTTGAGCACAGCATCTTGTACGAGCTGAGCACCATCTGACATAGCGCTCCCCACCCAGCGCTTGAAATTCCTCACTGTACACCAGGCCTTGCCTCTGATCCCATTGGAAGGAACAGAGTCAATGACAGGACAGGTGGCTTGATCCACAGTAAACGCTTCTTCTCTGCCAGCTTCTCCCTCTCCCCCCTCCAAGGGGCACCTCCCTCCTGGAGGACTGGGATCCTCACAACTCCTCTCCTTGTCCCTGGGCAGCGCCAGGCAGAACGGATGTCTCAGATCAAGAGGCTCCTGAGTGAGAAGAAGACCTGCCAGTGTCCCCAGTAAGGATCTGGGCTGAGAGGGAGGAGGGAGAGGGATGAAGGAAAGAGAGAAGAGGGAGAGAGAAGAGGGGGAGAGAGAAGGGGGAAAGAGAAGAGAGAGGGAGAAAAGGAGGGAGACAGGAGGGGGAGAGAGAAGAGGGAGAGGGAGAGAGAAAGGGAGAAAGGGAAAGAAGAAAACCCATGAGGGAAACAAAATGAAGGAGTTGAGAAGAAAGGGAGGTTCAAGGAAGAGTGAGCAAGTAGATGGGGTAAAGAGGAGGTAACGGGGTGGTGGGCCTGTGGCATGCCTGGACAGGGGTGGCAGAAGTGGAGGTCACAGGGCAGAGGCTGTGGTATGCCTGGACGGGGGTGGCAGAAGTGGAGGTCACAGGGCAGAGGCTGTGGCATGCCTGGACAGGGGTGGCAGAGGCTGTGGCATGTCTGGACAGGTACCACAGTGCTGTCCGTTGGTACCACTGTGTTCCAAGAGAAGAGTAGGATTCTGGGAACAATGGAGGCCACAGCACACTGTGGGGTTGGGAGAATGGATTTGCTTCCTTTATTCTTCTTTCTTCCAGCCGGATGCAGAAGACTCAGAATTTCATTTAAGGCTGAGGCCCCTTTGCAGCCGACCACGTCTCGGCTGCTAAGGCCTGTGGACCAGAAGAATGTAGCAGACCCGTTACTCTGGCCTCCTGCCCTCCTCTTCCAGAACTGGCCACTGCTCCTCTCTCTATTCCCAAGCCCAAAGCAGAGCTTGCTCTCTAATTTTCAGACACTTAAACACACTTTGTTTTTCCCAGCGTCCTTTTCACCAAAACCTCAGCTCTTCCCTGACTACTGTTCAGACCCTCTTTTCAGTTGTCTGGATCTAAGGGCAGTGCCCAGAACCAAACATGGATGTGGGGCTGGTGCGTGGAAATATTCAACACAGTTCACAAGAGATGGCCCTGGGACCAGACTGAGTGGGGACTTGTGTCAATGACCCAGCCTTTCAGGCACAGATGGAGACCCAAAGGCTTCTGAAATAAGCCTCAACTCCCCACACTGCCTGCTTCTCACTTTGTGAGAAGACCAGACTCACATTCTGGCCAGTGCACCAACACACACCCAGGCCACATACCTCTGCACATCGCCATACACTTATCCATAGTTAAATAAGCCAGTTTAATGTCCTTGGTATTCAACCCTAACAAGAACCTTACATGTGGGCAAGCAAAATGGTTCAGCTGTAAAAAGCCCTTGCTGCCAAGCCCGAGGACCTGAGTTCAATCCCGGAGCTGAAAGTTGTCTTCCATTTGTGTGCCATGGCCCTCATGTACACACACACACACACACACACACACACACACACACACACACACACACAATGCAATCCTATGAGCTGGCAGTGATGACCAAGATGGCAGAAATGACCAATCGTCTCCAACCAAATGGGATTAAGGCTGTATGACTGCCCAAGGTTGCAGAGTTAACTACTGTAGATGTCAAGATTAACTCAGGCCCATGATCCCTGGAGCCACTATCTGCAACACAGGAGTGAATGCCAGGCAGATCCTTGGAGCTAGTCACAGGCACCCAGTATGCACCTTGGGAGCATAGAAACACGCACACCATGTGCAAGATGGCGGGCCTCCAGATTCTTGTTTGAGTCCCACCTTGACCACTGCTGTTTGTGGATTCCTTTACTGGAGGACAAAACCCCAGTTCTCTTAGAGCAAGGCCAAGAGAAATGTGCAGAGAGACGCACCACTCAGTGCAGTGTGTGCAGGACCTGCCACTCAGTGTGTGCAGAAACTGCCGCTGTGTGTGTGTGCGGAGCCTGTCACCCGGTGTGTGCAGAGCCCGGAAAGGGAGCCGTGTTCAGGTGTCCTTTGAGAAGATCCTTGGGGAAGCTGACCATGCCTTTCTCCTTTGCCAGGCATCCAGGGAAATCAGGGTTATAAGAATTCTCCCTGCCAGTCTTCATCTGCTTTTCTCTGATGCTCAGCTTCCTTGGCTTCTTTCACTCTCCTGCCTTAGCGCCTCCCTTTTTCCTTCCGACCCCATTCCTTTTTTTCCTCTTCTTTTCCACATGGCCTCTTCCAGAAAGTGCGCGCCCCCCAATTGCCACCAGGCTCCTCTTTGCCTACTTTTTATTTGTTTTCACTGCCCACTCCTGCCCCCTCAGCTAACAGAAAAATAAAGCCTATAAGTAAAATGCACTTCGTGTGTGTGCACACATGTGAGTGCGTGTGTAATGTGTGTATGCATGTGTGATGTGTGATGTGTGTGTGTGTGTGCGTGTGTGTGTGTGTGTGTGTGTGTGTGTGTATGGGAGGGCATTTACTTCTCTGGAGATCCAGGAATCTTTGGGGCTGGCCCAGGAAGAAGATAAAGTTGCCCGGAGAAGGAAGGATTCTCTAGAGGTTGATTTCCCACCTCCTCATCCCAAAAGTCCTGTGTGTGACTCTGCAGTTGACCCAAGAGACTGTGGTGCGATGTGTGCCTCCTGCCGTCTGTGCATGGGAGAGGAAGAGGACGTGAGAAATCGGAATGTGTGTGGCAATTGTGTGTGTCCTCATCGTAAACGTACACTTGCGTTCTGGGAGGAGAAAGAGGGGTGCACAGGTGCACCAAGAGCCCACATCCTTTTTGATCCATGCCACTACCTCCCAACTTCACAAGCACCCTTAGCTTCCAGCAGCCCTTCTTCAGGTGCTGCCCCTCTGAGCTCTACCCAAGAACAGCCCCCACAAGGATGCTCACAGTGACACACGGTGACACACGCTTCCTCCGCCCCGAACAGCTAGCTCCTCAGTCCCTAACAACACCAGCTGCCTCCTCGGGCTCATTCGTGTTGGAAAAAAAGGGACAGGGTGGGGGCAGGACACCAACTGTTTCACCAATGAAGCCCGCTCCCCGCCGTCCTCCTCGCCCCCTCCCTCTCGGCTCCTTCCTTGCCCCTCCTCCTCTAAGTCACCGCCGTCCAGTTTCCCCGCCCCACCCTCGCCACCCCCGACCCCAAGACTGGCCAGCGGCTCCCTAACCCCGGGCTCGGAGGCCGATGACCCCGGGAGACAGGGGCCTCGAGGGGCCGCAAGCTAGTGCGCCGCGGGCTGAGCCTGAGAGGCCAGACTGGGGGGGAGGAGGCCAAGAGGGAGGGAGCGAAGGAAGGAGGAGGGCTGGCGAGCTGGAGCCGGCAGGCGGCGGGAGCCCGGGCGAGCCTCGTCGAGAGTGCGTCTCCCCGGCAGAGCAGGACGCAGCCGGAGGTAAGAGGACCCTTGCCCGGTCCCCCGCGTGTCTCCGTTCCCCCCCCGACACCCCGCCCAGCCAGCTGCCTCCGCTCCCCTCTTCCCCGCCCCCTCCTCCCCAGCCACCTGCTGTTTCTGCCCAGGAGAACACCCTAGGTGACAGGAGGGTGGAGCCACCTGACCTTATCCCATCAAGACGAAGGGCGAGGGACCCCTGTCGGCCAGGAAGCCCCCAATAGCCCTCCTCCCTTTCCCTTATCTCTCTGTCCTTCATCTCCTTCTCTCTGTCCTTCACGTCTTTCTTCTTCCCTCCCTTTCTGACTCTCCCTCTCTCTTTCATTTGGAACCACCAACTGGGTCTGCGGGTGGAGGTGGGGGTGAGGGTAGGTGGGAAGAGGTCCAAAGGCTGTAGGGGAGAGCAGTGGGGGGCATCCGAATCTATTCCTTACACCTCCCCCTGGTGTCCATTGCCATGGCAACTAGGATGTACTGGGCTGGAAGGGGGAGAGACAAAGCTGGGGGTTGGACTGGGACCTCTTGGGGAGAGCTAGGGCCTAAGCTTCTTCCTCAGGAAATAGACGGTGGCACAGCTGTGCCCGACTCCCCCCTCTCCCCCATTTGCCCCGAAGCCATTATGCCAGTCCTTACAGCCTCTCCTCTGTTCAGCGTTGACTTGATTTCCTAGTGTCTTCCCCAGGTCTCACTGGACAGTGTCACTAAGATCAGGACCCTCCTCCTCCTTCCGGTCAGAGGGAAACTGAGGCTCGGGAAGGAGACCCAAGGTCTCTTAGCGAGAACAGCATACTGAAAGTCCAGCTCCTGTTCTCAGGCTCCCTGCTCCCTACCTCCATAACCCTCCGTCCCATGCCCCTCCCTCCAATGTCTCCTCCCCAGGGGTTTCTGAACCTTCTATTTTCAGATACTACCACTTTCCCCCTCTTTCTTTTCTGCTCAAACTCTCCTCCCTAGTTCCCCCTCTTTCCATTTCTGGATGCTTCTGATGTCAGTGGTTTCCCCGCCTTCAGGTTCCCTAGCTACCCCCACTTCAGTCCCAGCCTCCTTTCTCCCATTTTCCTTGGGCAGCTGAACGGTTGAAAATCCAGGCTTAGAGAAGGGGGCCGAGCAGGAAGGCTGCAGGAGTAGGAGAATGGCCTGCAAGGAAAGGGCTCTTGCTTTGCTGTGAGCCCCCAAGAAGGAACACATCACATGTCTCCTGTTAGCAACTGAAGAAAGATCTGGGGATGCGCAGACAGGGGTGGGTAGTTCTGAGCACAGGCTATTATAAGAAGGAACTTTGGAATTCCAAAGCAGGAAGAAAGGGCTAAAAAAGATGGAGACAGTGAGACTTATCCCACATAGTCTGCAAGTATAGGAGGCCTTATCCGTGTGGGTAAGTAGGCTTCCGATTTAAGGCTCTGAATGACCCCAGTGACCCTCAGCCATCAGTCCTTCCTGCAGTTTCTAGAGAAAGGGTTCATGTGAGCCAGAGTACAGCACAGGCCTAATTCTTGTCCCCTCCATCTCCTCTTCCCACACAGCACATCCAGGTGACTGAGCTCCACCCCTGGGCACTGACTGGTCAAGATTCCCTGGAGAGGCAGATCTGGAAGTCCCAGCACGGGAATCAGAGGTCCCTAACCAGTTTCAGAGATGGGGAAGCAGCAAGCTTGCTCCCCTCATCAATCACAGGGATAATTAAGAAAAGGCCCCACCAACATGGAGGCTAAGGACCACTACCTCTACTGAGTCTCTGCCTTCTGCCCTGCCCACGGCACCTTAGCTGGGTCCCTCATGCAATGCTGAGGAGTAAAGGAGACTTGGGGTCATCTTGCCTGGCTACAGGGCAAGAATTGTGGGCATCATGGGGGTGTGTGTGAGCGGGGCTCCAGGGTGAGACCTAGCCCCCGCCCCCAGGAGTTCAAGGGGGTGGGGGTGGGGCTGAGAAAAGGATGGCTCGGGGTGCCCTGGGGGCAGAAGAGGCCTCCCTCCGCTCAAACGCACTGTCCTGGCTGGCCTGTGGGCTCCTGGCCCTGCTGGCTAACGCCTGGATCATCCTTAGCATTTCCGCCAAACAGCAGAAGCACAAGCCGCTGGAGCTGCTGCTCTGCTTCCTGGCGGGCACACATATACTCATGGCGGCTGTGCCCCTCACCACCTTTGCCGTGGTGCAGCTCCGGCGCCAGGCGTCCTCTGACTATGACTGGAACGAGAGCATCTGCAAGGTCTTTGTGTCCACCTACTACACGCTGGCCCTGGCCACCTGCTTCACAGTGGCCTCGCTCTCCTACCATCGCATGTGGATGGTGCGCTGGCCCGTCAACTACCGCCTCAGCAACGCCAAGAAGCAGGCCCTGCATGCCGTCATGGGCATCTGGATGGTCAGCTTCATCCTTTCCACCCTGCCCTCCATAGGCTGGCATAACAACGGCGAGCGCTACTATGCCCGAGGCTGCCAGTTCATAGTCTCCAAGATTGGTCTCGGCTTTGGTGTTTGCTTCAGCCTCTTGCTTCTTGGGGGCATTGTCATGGGTTTGGTCTGCGTGGCTATCACTTTCTACCAAACACTGTGGGCCCGGCCCCGGAGGGCTCGGCAGGCCCGGAAAGCTGGGGGCAGTGTGGGAGCCAAAGTGGGTGGGCTGGGGGGCTTGGGTACCCGACCGGCTTTTGAGGTGCCAGCCATTGTGGTGGAGGATACTCGAGGGAAGCGGCGATCCTCATTGGATGGCTCAGAATCTGCCAAGACGTCTTTGCAGGTCACCAACTTGGTCAGCGCTATCGTCTTTCTCTACGACTCACTCACGGGGGTACCCATCTTGGTGAGACTGAGGTCCCTCCAATTCTATCGGCCACGCAGGAGCTCCCTCGTGTTTTCACCATTGTCCTTTCCTCCTGGCATTTGTGGTTCCCTGTCTCTATCATCCATCTTTAAGCTCCCACTACTCAGTCTCCCAGCTCCATCATTTCTGTTTCTATTCTCCAGCTCCATCTTCTATCCTGCCCCTGCAATGTTCAGCCTGGCACCCAGCTGCCCAGAGGCGCTATCTAGTCCCTAATTCCCTTTGGCAATCACAGTCACACTATCCAAGCCCCATTCCTGGTTTTCCCCCAATCTTTACGTTTCTTGCAGTCTCAACTCTCTCTTGCTCTGTCTCTCTGTGCCTGTCTCTGTCTCTCCCCCAACAACTCCAGGGTTTTGTCTATAGCATTTCCTGACTTTTCTCATTCAGGCCCTCCTTATTCTCCCCACCTCCCTTCCTACTCTCCTACATTAGGAGTGGGTATCAGGCTTAGGTGGGTGTCCGGGCTCTCACACCTGATCAGTCATTCCGCCTCCCCTGCCAGGTGGTGAGCTTCTTCTCCTTGAAGTCCGACTCAGCTCCACCGTGGATGGTGCTGGCTGTGCTGTGGTGTTCCATGGCACAGACTCTGCTCCTGCCCTCCTTCATCTGGTCCTGTGAGCGCTACCGCGCTGACGTGCGCACGGTGTGGGAGCAGTGTGTGGCTATCATGTCGGAGGATGATGGCGATGACGGTCAGAGGAGGGATGGGGACTTTTATTTCTTGGACAGCTACCTCTATTTTCTGTCCTTTCTCCTGCCCTTCTCCTTGAGGAGATGTGCTGCCCTGGAGTGCCCCCTACTGGGCTGAACTGGAGCCAGCTCCAGTCTCCCCATAGCCTGATTATGCCCTCTGTCATCCCTGCCTTGTTCCTTTCTGCACCGAGGGAGCTTTCCACTAGGCCTCTGCTCCTCTCTAGAGGCCTACGCTGCCCTGTTTGGTCTGTGCCAAGTAGACTTCCGGGGAAAGGGTCCTCAGTCCTAATGCAAAGAGAGTGTGGCCTTAAAGGAAGCTAAACTTCCTGAAAGAGAGAGTCCCTGCTTTTGGAGAAGAACAAGCAAAAAGAGAGAGAGAGAGAGAGAGAGAGAGAGAGAGAGAGAGAGAGAGAGA